TTCACAGATTGGTTTAGAGTAGAAAAGCACATTGTAACATAGGTAGTAGGTATTGGGGAAAATCTGTAAACATATAATATGTAATATATCATATAAAAGATAGCAGCAGCCCTGGGCGGGGGGAGAGAAGACGAAGACACCAGACAGTGAGGGTGTCAGGAGTGTGTGTCTCTGCCTGGGCCGCTGATCTAGGCAGCCGCAGTGGGCGAAGACAATCTTTTAGATAACTAGCAATAAACTGCCTTGAGACCGAACAACAAGAGGCTGCGGAGTTTTTCTTTGGAAGCAAAGGTTGGAGGAGAGACTTCACCACCACACGAGACCCCTGAATCAATCCCGGGGTTCTCACACTGGGCTACAGCCCAAACAGTATCAAGTATCTTATTGGAAAAAATTATACCTCAATATGGGTTTGTAAGCTGCATTGATTCAGACCAGGGGACACATTTCACATCAAAAATCATTAAGCTATTGGCAGATGCTTTAGGCATTCGATGGGAATACCACGCCCCATGGCACCCTCAGAGCTCAGGACAAGTTAAGAAAATGAATCAAACATTAAAAGCCCAATTAGCCAAATTGATGTTTGAAACAAGAATATCATGGATAAAATGCCTCCCGTTGGCTTTATTAAATATAAGAACTATGCCTCATTCCGAAATGGGACTTTCACCTTTTAAAATGTTAAATGGGATGCCTTATACCCATAGTATGCCTGTAGGGCATCTGAGATTAGAGGATAGACAAATACAACCATACCTAGTAGCATTAAATAAGAATCTCTAAGAATTGCAAAAGCAGGGGGTGATTATGCAAAACAGCCCTCTTGGCTTCTTGATACATAAAATACAACCTGGAGACAAAGTACTTGTGAAAGCATGGAGGGAAGCCCCATTAACGCCTCAAAGGGAGGGACCTTTCATTGTTCTTTTGACCACAAATACTGCTATACAAACTGCAAAAAAGGGGTGGACACATGCATCAAGGGTAAAAAAAGTCGATCTCCAGGACCGGGCACCAGAGTGGAAAATCACCCCTCCCCCCCCTGGAGATTTGAAGATAACCCTGCGCCGGCCAAGTAAATGACTGAGAGCATCTCTATCAAACGTTCTGTGCCAGAGTGTAACTATTATCCTCTCGTACATTTCTCTCACAAATACTGTCATAAAGTTTGGGCTATTCATTACTGAATTAAACAAAGTGGGTTGTGTGGAAAGTGCTTTGAGCAGGAGGAAGACCTGACTAGCCTTTTTGTGGTAATAGCCACAAGGCTAAGATTGTTCTAATTAGATTCAATAATCTGGGTTTTGTTTTTTCTTTTTTCTCTCATATCAGAAGGGATTAAGGGAAAAATTACAAGCAAAAGCTAAAATTATTATTGTTAAGTGTCATAGGTCGAACAACGTACTCTGCACTGAAGATGCTGTTGAACTACACCAGTGAGGCATTTTTAAACAAAGGTATGCGGCTTGGCCTTGGTATGAAACCACAAAGATTCCTGCTGCCAAGAAGATGGCTTACCCTGTCGCTGGAGGCACCCCAGTGGGCGCTGGGAATGGCAGAGGGATCCTAGCAGTAGGAGTAATCCTGGCGAGCCTGAGCCTAGCCTCATGCCTCAGTAACCTCCCCAGTCCTGGGAAGTGGGAACTCGGTGGCAGATACCTAGAAAAATCACCTCTTACCTCATGGAACTGCAGCAGGGGTAAGCCTAATAAATGTTGTCTTGACACAAACACTCAACAGGGGGTGTACAAATTCAAAGGGAAATCAAAAACATACCTTGAAAACAGACAGTCAGCTCATAAACTACATCAAAAGAGCACAGGGGAAATTTCAATTCTAGTTTGTAACAGATATAATCGTACTGTATAGGTTGGGGGAAAGCAGGAATCTGTCTTTATTGCTTATTTCCAAGCTAACCCGGTGTGTTATAGTCCAAATAAAATTAGTATGTGTGAAATAGGGGGAAAAACCTACTGGGTGGGAAATAACCTGAAATATGAAAACAGGATACCTCTAGAAACTGAGCCAATCATCCTAGACCTCTTAAGGGACCAGGATGACAGAGTCTGTCTACAATATGATAATATGTTTTGTTTCACCAAGGATAAAGAAGGGATGGATCTGGAAAATAAGATGAAGCAGGTAAAGCAAAAGGAAAAAGACAGGAAGCTGAGATGAGGAAAAAGAGAATAAAACAAGAAAGGCTGAAAGCCCTAAGTGAACAGTATGACCAATTAGAAAAACAATATGCAAAGTGGGGATTGCCTGCCTCAGATAAAAATCTTTTTGTGGATCTGATGCAGGAGATTGCCACAGAGCTGAGGTTGTCTAATTGCTGGGTCTGTGGGGGGGCTAAAATCAGCTGAAAAATGGCCTTGGAGGGGCGAGGGTTTGACTCCTGAGCAACTACTAAAATGGGAAACTGGTGGGATCCCCAAAATAATTCAGAGACCGGAGGGGTGGGTACTGGACCAACGAGTAATTGGAACATTCTGCCTTAGCTGAGGGGGGAGGGTTATATTCAGAAATTGTAGGATACACTCCATGCGTTTCCACCCTATCCATAAATTCCACCAGCCACATCAAAGTCTGGCAGCCTGAAAGCCCTACCGGGTACTGGAGCCAGGAGAAAAAGGATAACTGTAAATGGAGTGACCAAATTGGGCTTTGCTGGTACAAAAGCCCCAGAGCTAACCCTTATCAGTCAACCAGCGAACTAAGTATGTATTGAGATGAACCTGAGAGCATAACAATCAGATGGAAAGCACCTGATAGATTATACTGGATCTGTTGGAAAAAAGCCTTCAGCAAATTACCTCCACGCTGGAAGGGATCCTGCATGGTAGGACTAATCAGACCTGTTTTCTTCACCCTACCCAGGTCAGAAAGTAGTTCACTGGGAGCCTCCTTGTATGAATCCCTGAACCGAGAGAAGAAGAGCTTAAAAGAAAAAATCCCTCTCATCAGTAGGAAACAAACTTACGGAGAAGATAAATAGCCTGCTAAAAGGATCACTGAATATTATGGTCCTGCCACATGGGCTCGGGATGGGTCGTGGAGATACCAGACCCCCATCTATTTGCTAAACCGCTTAATAAGATTGCAGGCTGTGGTGGAGATTGTATATAATCACACTTCAGATGCTCTTGAATTATTATTGCGGCAACACTCTCAAATGAGGGCTTTTGTGTATCAAAACGAAATAGCCCTTAATTACTTACTAGCTGGAGAAGGAGGTTGTTGGGAAGGATGGATAAATATAATTGCCTGGCAAAAGATTTACAATAGTACAGCCAGGATGAAAACACCCCCCCCCCCTACTGGCTGGACAATACCCTTAACTTCAGATAGGTCCAAAAGTCAAATGGACTGTTCCATCTCAACCCCCCAAAATGTATGGTTCATCCCACATCTGTAACCCTCCCCTAAAGCTTCAAGTGTCTGTAACCCCATTGGCCCAAGTCTTGTTCCAGCCCACCTTGAAGCCCCCTGATAAAGGGTCTCTGAGGCGCCAGAAGCCCTCTTGGATCCTCCGCCCTCTTGGAATTCCCCCCTCTTAGATCTTCCACCCTCTCCTAGAACTCCTTGTCTCTCCCCTCCCCCATCACCTCAGGCCTTGCCACGTGCTGCGTCTGGCAGCTCCAAGCAAGACCTTTCACCATCTCTAATAAACCTATATTCTAAGAGCAACCTTCAGAGATCTCTTGTCTCCATTCATCGAAACCGTCCTGGAGCCCAGCGCTCCCTACAGATTGGCGCCCAATGAGGAATACAAACCCACGCTTACCTGCACCCACACCTGTCTGGATGCCTCCCCAGATTTTCTACCTGTAGGAGACTTCTCCATGGACGGTAACCAGTTGTCCCCTCCTCATTGGTTTCGTGAGCACGGCATTTCGTTGCTAGGCAGTGTCAAAGCTGGAGCTCTTTAAAAATTGCCGAGGCAATCCTCGAGCACCGCGACTCGTTACCAATTAGTGAGTTTTCAGAGCCCTTGGAGGATTTGTGCCTGCTGATCCTCGAGCACAGGTGACTGCTGCTGAGCAGCGGTGACCTGGAGCTCTGTGAGGAGCCTTGCCGGGGCACACTGCCACATGCAGAGAGCACACGCGTCCACTGCTTTGCACTGCCCGCGCTGGAGCTCTGAGGGGGAGTCTGGAGGTCCCGAGCACGGAAAGCCATTCCTGAGTGACGCCTGAAACCGGAGCTCTGAGGGGACCTCCCGCAGAGTCCTGAGCGCCGACTGGAGTGTACATCAGAACTCGACACAGGACCCTGCTTCTGCGACATCGAGGTGAGCTACACTGGTTTAAAAATGGGACAATCCCACTCTGCCCCTAATCGAGATCTTTATAAGCAACTTAACCATCTCTTACGTAGCTATAACAGTACTTTGTCTAAAAAAGAGTTAAAAAACCTTCTAGAATGGATTCTGCTTAATTTCCCGAATGCTGATCGTTAAGCTGTTTTTACTAGACACTGTTGGGACTCAGTTGGAAATAGACTTTTTAATGATATTTCACGCCGGGATCCTGATGCTTTTGAATTGCTCCCGGTGTACAGAATGTTAGCTGACTTGTTTGCTTCACAGAAGCCAGTGGTAGCCGCCTTGCCGCGTTGTGCGGTTTCTGACTACCCCGCCCACGCTGCTGTGAGTGTCGAGTGGGAATCGCCCCTATCCCCCCCCCCCCCCTTGTGCCGCTTGGCGCTGGCTTCCACGGTTCCCGCCCTCGCGGTTCCCACCCTCGCGGTTGCTGCCCTCGCGGCCACCCACTCCCTCCCGCCGTTCTCCCTGCCACGCCACCTTTCCCCCCCCCCGCGCCGCTCGGCGCCGCCTCTCGCGGTTCCCGCTCTCGCGGCTCCCGCCCTCATGGTTTCCGCCCTCACGGCCGCCCCACCCCCTCCTGCCGTCCTCCCTGCTGCGGCCCCCTATTCCTGCCTGTGCCGCCCAGTGCCGGCCCCCTCCTGCCCCCCCCCCCCCCCCCCGCTCTCCGGCCGCGCCCGCCCCCTCAACGGAATCTTTCGCGGCTGTGGTCACCACTGTCGCCAACTTTTCGCAGAGCCAGGCGGCTGTGATTTTGCAGGCGCTGCAAACAGCCGCCGCTGCGAGCGGCCCGCCACCACTGCCCCCCGCGGGTGCCGCAGCCTGCGGTGCGCCCGTGCCAGTGACAGACCAGGCCAGTGTGCATGGGGACAGGGGAGCGGCGTCAGTTGTGCCGCAGTATCGAGCGACCGGGCCCCCAGTCCCTGCTCCGTGTCGGTCCCTGGCCAGAGCTCCCGCGGCGTCGCCCCAGCCCGAGCCCCCCAAGCCATGGGGAGACGCTCCAGGCCTCCGTGCTGCGCCCCTGCCGCCCCCCGCGCCTGTGGATTCGCGGCAGTTCTCTCCCGCGGCCCCAGTCCCCGTGGACGCGGCCGCCATTCTGCCTCGCCATGCGGACCTCATGACATGCCCCACGCATGCGTGATTAACAATCAACACAGATGTTTTCTGTACCAAAAAGTATTCAATTCCTTTTATCTTGGAAATTTGACCATATATGACAGCTGAGCGTATTTTCAAAGGGAGTTTGGAGAAACATGAATCCGGATAGGATTTCTGCAATTCTCAGTTGTTTTAAGGTTTATCAGCTGCTGCAGACTCTGGGATGACAATTCAGTGTTGTAGTGCTTGGTAATTGTATAATTTCGTATGTGTAACTGATTATATGCATTATCTGATTGATTCCTAATTGCTGTTAGTTTCTTCTTTACTACATGAATTGTTTTGCTCTTGATGTTTTCTCATGCTTGTAACTAAAGAATGTTAGTAATAGTAACTTATGTTGTTATCTTTTATGTCTTTATGCAATTTTGCAAAACAGAACTGATCCATGTTTTATTTTCACATCTGGACCCATTCTTCACTTCCAGGATCTTGAGAAAATCCTCCAGTCCCTGTGAGTGATGTGAATTTGTGTTTCAACAGGTACTAAGTCCAGGTGGATTTCAGTGAAGAATGTGAAACTCTATCAAGTGCAACAAAATGCTGACCACTCCACAAGCAGAGAAGAAGACACACAGATGTGGACTGCACAGAGAATCCAACCCTTGTGTTTCACCCACAGAAGATTGTGGACATTGGGTTTCTTCATGGGTGTGGGAATCAGTGATATTGTAGAATTTTTGTTAGATGATAGCTTAAGTGAAATATGGGGTGTGGTCAAATGTGTGTCTGACAGGTGATTGACAAAGTTGTCAATGCAGTGTTCATGGTTCAAACAAGAGGATGTTGGAATCGTGGATGCTGAGAATTTTAGACTTTCTGTGCTGAAAGGCACAGACTCACAAGAGAACACTGCATTTGACCTGAGGCTGTGGAGAAGACTTTAAAAATTGATTGATAGTACTGGGATTACTGGGTATGTAGTTGGTTAGAAGCATGTAATATCACAGGGTGGAAAACTTAAGAGTTTGGGATTTTAGAATATAAAAATAAATGTGAAGCAAGATGGAGGTTTTAGGGCGGAGCCAGGTTGTTCTTCTTTACCTTCTTCCTTCTTCTTCATGGGTTTGGGTGATGTTTTGTGATTGGACAGAAATGTCCACATTGCGGACTTCAAGGGATCAGTTATTGGGTTAAAAGGGAAAATAATCTAGGTGCCATTTCTTAATTGGATAGTTTAGTTTGAAAAGACCTTGTAACAACAGTTAGCCATTTTGTGCTTTGCTGATGAAAAAGCTGCCGAACTCACGGTAGTGAGACTGTAACAAAGATAAGAAATAATAAACACCTGAGTCCGAACATGAAATACCATCTCAAGTGCCTTCAATCCTGACCTTGAGAAACCGATATCAGTTCTTGTGCTGACTGTCATGGACTTGCTGCACTTTTACCAGTGGGGGTAAACCCCAGAGGCCTAAAAGCCTTGCAGCTTTGGCAAACAGATGTAACTCATATTGCCGAATTTGGCCGACTTAAGTATGTGCACGTGTCTATTGACACCTTCTCCTCTGCCATGTGGGCATCTGCTCATACTGGAGAAAAGGGTTGTGATGTTATTGCCCATTGGAGGATGGTTTTTGCAATCTTAGGTATACTTTCTTCTGTGAAAACTGATAATAGTCCCACCTACGTCTCACAGAAGACATGGCAGTTTTTACGTTTATGGGGAGTGTCGCATGAATTTGGTATTCCGCATCCTCCAACTGGTCAAGGTATTGTTGAACGCACTCATGGCACTTTAAAGCCTGTTCTGGAAAAACAAAAAGGGGGGATGCTTGGAGAAACCCACACAGTCGATTGGAAAAGGCTCTATATATAATTAATCACCCTATAGTGTCACAAAATTCAAACAATCCTGTCATTTTAAATCACTTTCTTTTGTTGCAGTCTTCAGGCGAGACACACCTGCCTTGAGTGAAAGTCTGGGTATAGGATCTAACCACTAATAAGTGGTTATCACTTGGGGTCATGGGTATGCATGCATTTCTACAGATACTGGGGTGCAGTGGATACCTGCAAGGTGTGTTCACCCTCACTTGCGACACCAAAAGCAGAGTGTAGCCAACAGTCAACCTTTGAGGGATGATCAGGATGCTGATCATCAATCAGATGGTCTCTACAAATAGAGAACGAGCATTCTATCTTTTTCTTTTTTTCTGGAGTAATGAACGTTGACAAGTTAGACTGCCACTTCTTTGAGCAGACTAACGATGTTTTGTTTACTGTATAAGAATTAGTACCTGACTTCTTGCAAGAATGAACAACAAGACTTGATGTTGGTACATGGACGTGATTGTGAAGAATTTGATTACATGTGCTAGAGAATCTCCCTGACCATTCTAATTTAATGTCTGATTGAAGTTCTGGTTGGTAACCAGCAAATTACTAAAGGGACCTCTTGAGCTGTGTTTTTTCTCCTTCCTACAAAGGGCTCTGCAGGGGCAACAAACACCGCCTTCTTTTTTAAAATAAAAAGGAGGAATTGTGGATGCTGACAGTCTGGTCAGAGAGAAAGTCAGATAAACTTTTGCAGGAATTGCTCTGGTGCAACATCCCATAAACTCTCTCCCCTCAGCCAATTCCCAAGCTCATTGCCTTGGAAAGACTTACCACAGATTTCATTCCTCCTGTGAGAAAAGGCAAGATTCCCCCATGGACCTCAGTGTCGCTGATCCCTATATTTTGCAACCTACCCTGGTTTCTCCTTTCCCAGTTTCCTCATTGGTTGAGTACCCCTGATGGCTGCCCCCTCTCCTCTGGAGACCAATCCCCTTTGCCCTGCCCTTAGCTCTGCCCCTCCCCTGCCATCCCTTCCCCTTAAGTGTCCAGAGCACATACTCTCACTCTTTTACCTGGGTTTCCTTCTGCCACTACATGTAATTAACCTCACTGGAATAAAATCCTGCAAAGACCCTTCTGCCTCTCTTGCTGAGCCAGCTGTGGTGAATGTTGTGTGTGGATCTGACTGTGTTGCCTGAATGTTAATTCAACCTGCTTTTCTACAGGAGAGGTTTGTTGGGAACAGATAATAGGCAGCAGCACCCACCATCCTACTCTCGCATTTTTAATTGGCGCACAACTGGGCCCTGACCTTGAGGTTTCTAGTTAGCCTTTTGAAAGTGTCTCCACTGGATCTCCACTGGATTTTAAGTCGCAGTCACCGTTCCAGTTCCCTGAGAGAAAAACCCCCAATTTTCTAGGGGATTTTTCTGGGGGTGGCTGACAACCCTCGAGGCTTCGAGGACCGGCCGAATCAGTGAAACTTCCTCTGAGATTATTTTTTTTCTGACACACCGAGGTGGTGAGTATAGCCCAGATACAGTCACCTTCCCCCCCCCCCCCCTTTTTTTTTTTAATTCTTAGGAGAGAGAGGGCTCAATGAGTACGAAACTAACCATTGAGGAGAAAGAAGTTTACTCCCAAGTTTCTAATGCCCTGTTTAAATAAAATGTTAAGTTCTCTAAGGGTGATCTGAGGGCTCTTTTTCTTTGGGTTTTCAACATTTTTCCAGGTGCTACAGCTGAGTCAGTTTTGTCTGTTGAGTCCTGGGATAATGTAGAAAAAAAAATACATCCGCTACAAACTGAAGGAGATTTTTGGGTTGGGAAGTTCTATCCCCTTTTTTTACTATATTTGTAAGGTAATTCAAGCTTTGGGAGAGGGTTGTAAAGATTCTAAAAGTTCTGTATCCCAGTTGTGTCCTGACCCCCTGTCCCTGTTCCTCTGTCTCCTCGGGATAGGTCTAGAGATGGAAACTACCTAAAACAGGCACAGGAGAGCCTCTAGTCCTCTCTCATCCCCTTTCCCGACTAGTACTGGCCATGCTAGTCTGGGCTCTTTCCAAACCCTTTCGCCTAAATGCCTCTAGGCTTGACTCCCATTCACTGCTATGGAACAAGATGGAACCGGCCACATGGCCAATTCCTCCATTTTAAAATTTCCTGCCTTGGGCACTCAGGATGGTGTCTGGGATCCTCCTCCTCCCTTCCCTTCCCCCACCCCACCTCGGAGCCCCATCCCCGCAGCAAGTGCCACCCCCACGCTGGGTGCTCCCCCCAGACCAGACACCACCCCCGTGCCGAGTTTCCCCGCCCCCACGATTTCCCCTCCCCCTGCGGCGGCCCCTCCTCCCCTCACCGCCCCGATCCCTGAGCTCCCCGCCCCCGTGTCAGGTTCCCCCATCCCCACGGTCGCTCCTCCCCCCGCGGCTGCCCCTCCTCACGTCCCCGCTCCTACATCCGGCTTTCCCATCCCCTCTCCCTACGCTGCCCGTCCGCGCCTGATTCCGTTTCAATGCCGGGCACCCCGTTCCCGGCGGTAGTTTCCATGGTTCAGGGTCCCCCCCCCTTCCCTGCGGCTGCGCCTCCCACGGTCCATGTGCTTCCCCCCTCCCTTTCGGCAGCAGTTTCCGCGGTCTCTGTGCCCCCCCCCCCCCCCCCCCCCCGCGCGCCTTCCGCGGTCCCGTGGTTTCTTCCCTTCCTTCCGGCTGCGGTTTCCACAGTGACCTAAACATCCCCCGCTGCCCGCAGGACCGGCCGTGCCCGCCATTGCTGCGCTGGCGGCGGCCACGCCCGTCTCACGGGGTACCCTTGCACCCCTCCTGCCCCTGCCAGCAGCGGCACTTCCCCCTGCGGCGGCGGCTCCGCCGGCACCAAACCCCCCCGTGGCCCCGGGTCTCCTCCCTGCGGCTTCGGGTCTCCCCCCTACCCCAGCTCCGAGTGTCCCCCCGGCGGGAGCAGCCTCCGCCCCTGTCTACTCGCTCGCACCAGCTGTCCCGGAAGCGGGGATTCGCTTCCCCCCACGTCCCCTGCGGGACCCCCCCCCCCCCCCCCCCCCCGCCTCCGGGTCCTTCTCCTCCTCCCGCTGGCTTTCGCCCCCCCTCCGCTGGGTTCCGCGGTTGCTCCCCCGGGTCCCCCCCCCCCACCCCCCCACCTTTCTGGGAGGGAAGCTAATCAGAAAACCCCCTCCTGTTTACACACCAAAAGCTCCAAGCATGAAGTGTACCTCGGTTGGAGCTCTGGTGCAGATTCTAGGACATCTGCCTCTACCTTAGATGACAGTGATTCCTCAGATTCAGACGGTGAATTTGAGGATCCCTGGGTTCAAATCAAAAGAGAAGCAGCTCTGGATAAGAACTGGGAGTTCACTGAAAAATTAAAAGTTCTTGCTGCCCCAGTTAGACACAAAAGGGGGTTCCCCCCCAGATGGAAAGCCATTCCTTATAGTGAGCTCAGAGAGCTTTGCAGAGCCTCCAAACATTTTGGCCACTATTCTCCATATTTTAAAAATCTTGTACAAGTAACCTTCTCAACTCATGTGCTTGTCCCCCATGATCTCCGACATGTTATGTCTCTCCTCCTATCACCCACAGAGCTACTTCTGTGGGAATCAATTTGGAAAAAACAATTAAAAACATTGGTACAAAATTACCAATTGGAGGCCAGCTGAGCTTATCTCACTGTAGATCACCTGAGCGGGGAAGGAGAATATGAAAATACACAAGCCCGAAATCTATCCAAAGCTATTTTATAGGACATTAAAAATGCTGTCCAGAATGCTTTATTCCAAACACCTGATGGTATCACCCCACAACAAAGTTTTGCTGACATTCGTCAGAGCACTGATGAAACATATATTAAATGTCAGATTAAAAGACACTATTGATAAGCAGGTCAATTGCCCAAGGGCCAGAGAAGAGCTGCTCAATAAACTAGCAGTGTCCAACGCGAATGAAAATTGCAAAAAAATTATAAGGGCACTCTCTCCAGACCCTGAACCCACCATTCGTCAAATGGTGGAAGCCTGTTCCTATCTCACAACCACTGAACATATAGTAGCCATGGCAGTCAGCAAAGGAGTAGCTGAAGCCTTTGTAGCACAAAACAAACAAAATATGCGATGCTACAAGTGTAATGAACTTGGTCACCTCAAGGTGGAATATGATAAGGACTTTGTGCAGAGACACCCCTCCACTGGTTGTTCTTCCGCTGCATGCTTAGACTGTAAAGAACATTTTAAACACTGTCCCCAATTTCAGTATCACCAGCAGATCCAGCATAAGCCCTATCAACAGCAGCACCAGGGAAACTTCCGTGAACCACAGGACGGCCCTGCGTGATGACACTGAATGCCAAGCTCTTCCGTACCCCTTTCCCCACCATCCTGGAAAGCCAGAGCACCGACAGACCGTTTGTGATGACGAGGAAGAGCTCCAGTTCTCTGAGGTCTACCAATACGTTCAGGCAGGGACACGACGCACGCTGGTAAGCACCCTTTCCATCCCGCTTGAGGATAAGGAGATCTACC